AGAAATGTTTATAAAGTAAACATATAAATATTAAGCTCTTTTCTTTTGTAAATTTTTGATACCCTTCAAATCTAATATGATCTTCGATTATACAACTATATATATATATAATACGGAATGTATATTTTCAGTTAAAACTTCTACCCAATAACTTTAGTAATTCATGAAAGTTAATTTTGCGTCTAGTTAATTCAGGAAAATTAGTTTCAATTAGTTGTTTTCAGCTTTAAAAATATTAAAAATTTTTTAATTAGTTGTTTTCAACTAATAATTGTATCGCCATTAGCAAAAATTATGCATTACTATCAAACACATAGGTTTAAACCAAATACTTAATTGTCTATTGAAGCTTCAAAATGTATTTCCGAACTTCACTTTTTCTCTCGCTAGCGTTACCGAATTTGCCCTTGGCGACCTAAAATCGAAATGGAGCCAACAGATTTCCCGCGAAATCGATAACAGACCCTCTGCAGAAATAAACTCATAATCCCGATATCCCATACATATAGTATGTGCAAAAGAGAATAAACTCCGTAGAAGGTGAAAAAAAATTAATTTATGGCTTAATTGAAACAAACACGGAAATTGAGCTAAGCAAAACCGTGTAAAAACAAATTGAAATGATAAAACGAAACTTAATTTTCATGTGAATTTTCAGCGCTGACTCTCCCATTATAGAAATTTCAATTTGTTTCAAACAAAGACCCATTTAGCTTTATAAGGATTGTCATCCATCAATATCCAGTCTTTGTAGTCAGCTTGATGAAGCCACAGCTTATTGAAAATGTACTTTCCAGGCATCTCGTTCCTATTGGCGTCGGAAGGGTTGTGGCCTTCCAGGTTGGGAATTGCTCTAATTTTGGCAAATATTTTCAGAATCCCCCTCCCTTTTTTTTCTCGAGCACCTTCATCATCACTTTCGCCTCTTAAAGAACTTCCAGCTTCACGCTTTCGTCACAGTCTGCCTAAATTTATGGATAACACCTGTTTCGAAAGATTGCGTGAATAGCCAATCAGACACCGATACTTTCGTTTGGGTAGCTAATTATTTTATTTTTTTTTTTCTCTTTTTTCTTTTTATCAATTTGCAACGCAAATCCGCCAACAGAGGTTAAGAGCTGTGTAATTTTAATTCCATATTCATGAGAAATCGTAATTCACACTTAGAATGGCAATCATTAGAAATGATAAGAAATGTCAAATGAGCAAAATTAAGGACCGTTTATTTCCTTTTGGCCAAAATTAAGGACTTTTAAGAACAAAAAATTTTTGAAAATTAAGGACTTTTAAGGACTGACAGCCTGATAACAAGGAATATTAAACTTGCTTATCTTTCAAAGAGCAATGGTGCTGTATTATGACTAACAATCCTAAAGCTAAATTTCAGTTTGCGAAATGAATTGCAATTGGTACGAGTTTCATTAGCAAAACAGGGGCAATGTTAGCATAAATTTAGGTATTTTTGCGTAATGAAACTCAAAATGCAAAAAAACGAACGTGCGCCAAAATATATATTGGGGAGAGAAAACGTGCTTTCACTTTAGCTATGTGCAGTGCATTCGATTCTCACCTTATAAGCCAAGGATGTCAAACCCGCGGCCCACAAGAAATATTTTTGCGGCCCAGCCAATATATTGGCAAATAATAATATATAAAATAACATAATCGACAAAGAAAACAATGAAATGTTTATTGCTAAGTAATTAACGATAATTTATTCAATGTTGTTAGATTACTCACAGCGAGCTGACACACACAGAATTACAAATGCGTGTGAGTTGCTTGCGTTCAGCTACCTTCGGCTTTTGGGGGACATGTGCACTCAGAACTTGTATGCATCCCCCGATAGTCGAATGTGACCGAACTCATGGTCTCAGTTTTCCAATCATAGTTTTGTACGATATGTTGGTGCATGCACTTTGCTTTATTATTAATTATTACTTAATTCATATTGTTACGGATTTCATAGTTATTTATTTATTTAGTTTTTTTTTATTTAGAATTGTAATTAGATTTGCTTCATGTTGCCTTAGCAACGCAGACCGATTTTTGAAAAGCCGGTGCATTGGAAGGTTAAAAATAGAACAGTGCGTGCATTTAATACCTAACAAATAAATATCTCGTAATTGCTGTTGCCATCCACAAAAATCCAGATATTTATAGATGTTTCCAGTATATTCGAGAAATTAATTATAAAGCTTATAAAAGCCGAGAACAAACAACTCATCTCAGTAGTAGCTGTAGTTCTAGCGAACTGTTTGTTTACTTAATGCTGTGATTGCTTTGTAGCGATTTCGCTGTGAGATAGAATTAGTTTCTCTGTTTTGAATTGATTTTTGCTAAACATTTGACATTTCGTGATATTGTTAGAATATTTTTGAAGAAATATTTCAGCATTTTGATTTATCTCTTGTAGAAAGAATAAATTTTTTTAAACTTTTTAACGCTAACCGTGTTTATTCCAGCCCTTTGTATTCAGTATGTCTATATCAAAACCAAGTGGTAGTAAAATTAAACAAAAAATCACTGACGAAGATAGAATATTCCAAGTAAAATGGGAATTAGAATATTTTTGCTGTGAAATAAAAGATAAAACAATCTGCTTGATATGTAATAATACTATTAATGTACCAAAGTTATATAATATTAAACGTCATTACGAACAACACAAGTCGAAATAGAACAATTACGAAGGATTAATGAGAGAAGAAAAGTTGAAAGAGCTCAAGTTAGGAGTGAAAAAGCAACAGTCCATGTTTAGTGAAGTATTGCAAGAAAGTGAAGCGGTGGTACATGCAAGCTACGTCTTATCCGAGTTGATAGCTAAACATTCGAAGCCTTTTACTGACATTGATTTCATCAAGGAATGCCTAATGAAAGCTGGAGAAATTGTTTGTCCTGGAAATGTGAAGGCTTTTCAATCAATTTCATTGTCTCGAAATACAGTTGCGGAAAGAGTTACTGATTTAGCCGCGAATTTAAGTGATCAGATTAAAGCAAAACCATCTAGTTTCGAAAGTTTCTCCATTGCCTGTGACGAGAGCACGGACGTTAGTGGCAAAGCTCAATTAGCAGTGTTTCTTTGTTCTTGTGACAAGAATTTTAACATTTTTGAGGAATTACTGGAACTAATACCGATGCCTGGTACTATCACAGGAGAAGATATATTTACTTGTGTTTTTGGACTTCTGCAGAAATACAATCTACCTTTGACAAAATTAAATTCTGTAGCTACAGATGGCGCTCCATCAATGACCAGGAAAAAACAAAATCTTATAAGATCTCGGGCTTTAAATCAGTGTCAATTCACTGCTTTCTTAAGTGAGTTAGTGAATATTCGGGTTTGTCCTACTATACCGAGGTACGTTGGTTATCTTGCTCCAAGATTCTCAAACAATTCTGGGACTTGAAAGAAGAAATATGTCAGTTTTTAAAAACGAAAAATCAAGACGCATGTTTGTTTTACGATCCAACATAGATACAAGATTTATCTTTCTTGGTTGATATAACCAAACACTTAAACGATTTAAATTTATCGTTACAAGGAAAAGATCATATCATTACGAACATGTTTGACATAATTAAAGCATTCAAATGTCAACTAGTTCTTTGGGAAAAACAACTTAAAAATGAAGATTTGACGCACTTCCTGACGTGCAGCATGAGCAAATCAAGTTTAAATGATACTTGTTCATATCAAAAATACGCAGAAAAAATTGCAAATTTAACAACTGAATTTGAAATGAGGTTTAATGATTTTAGTTCCCTCAAAGACATTTTTTTTTTTTTTTTCCGATTTTCTCAATAAGTATTGAATCAGTACCCAGCCATATGCAAATGGAGGTGATCGAGATTCAATGCAACTCAAATTTGAAAGCAAAATATTTACCAGCCAGGTTTGAAAATACTTGAAAATTCGCATATGAAATTATTTCCATGTTTGGTAGCACTTATCGGTGAGAGCAGCTATTTTCAGTCATGAAAGGTAATAAGTCTCCTATTAGACCATATTAATGATGCTCACCTTGGGTCAGCGTTGAAAGTTATCACTGCAAACAAAATTTCTCCCAAAATAGGAAAGATAATAGCAGAGAAGAGATGTCAAGTATCAGGACGTAAACATTAAATTTTTCTTGTTCTTTCCTATATAAATATATATATATATATGTTTATTATTGTATTATTCAAAATAAATCTACGTTTCTATGAATATTGATTTTTTTTTTTTTTTTTTTTTTTGCGGCCCGCCTAAAGTTAAACCTTGTTTGTTTGGCCCAAGAGTACCTATGAGTTTGACATCCCTTTTTTAATCTATTTGCACCTGGGCCAAAGGTCTAATTCAGTTAGTGCTATCTCTTTTAGGTACTGTGTCAACGTATGTTCCTGTTTTTTTTTTTTTAATTATTATTATTATTATTGCCTAAACAAGTAAGCCTGATGATATTTAGGACTGATGATGATTCTATGTAAGTTATTCTTTTCAATACTTCAGTGTTTTAATGTCTGTGAAGATTATTACTTTTTGTTATGCTTAAGTTAAGCAAAATTATCCTACTTTATTAAATAAAGATTTCGTAGTTAATTTTTGACTTATGATTCTTTAATGAAAACTGTGCTTGAGGAAACTTACTCATTACGCCTTCAGTGCTAATGCACAAACCAACAAAAGAATTGCACAAACTCGGTATCCGTGTATGGCCAAAAATTGCCGATTTTTGCCAAGGGGTACCCGTAAATAGACTTTCAACAAATTATTTTATTAATAGTTCTACTTAAAAATTTCACTGCAGAAGGAAAGCATTTTCTGTTTTTGTTCAATTGATGCAAAAGAAATTACAAATCAACAATTTAATTTCCCTTTATTGCCACTGATTAATGCCATAGATATCATTAGATCATACATTGGGTACATATTCGTAACTCAGTTAATTTTACACAATATTATAAATATAAGAAAAGTTTTAACATTACTATTTTAAGGAAACTGCCATATAACTTACCATGATCACTAAAAAGTTTTTCTTCCAAACTTCTAATTTGCTTCTGAACATTAACTAATGCTAAATCCTAAAAAAGTAACATAATGAAAAAAGTAAGATCAGTGAAAAATACATTTAAAATATGATAAACTAATTTGCTTTGAGTACAATTTCAAACACATATTTTTTTAACACAGAATTTTGAAATATTTGCTTGAATACAATAATAAACTATAATAATACCTAAATATAACTCTATAATGCTATTGAATACTGAATGGATATGTTAATGTGATTCACTATAGAAAAATATCCGAAGGTATTTACGTATTAATGCCACCACAGCAGAATTTGCGCTGATACGTCAATAAAGAGCAATCCTGTTGTTCGCATGCAGTTATCTTTTGAATTCCTTTTTGCCTTGTTGTTTGCTGATTTTTGACGCCATTTTTTAGTGCTACGAAAATCCATCTTTGGCATTTGCCAAACACAGAAAAAGATGCAATTTTATTTTTTTTAGGAGCAAAATATTTCCCAAAATAAACGTAAATGTACCAATTCGCATGATATGAAACTTTATTTTAGTAAATGTATGTTTTGGAAATATAATTTAAGACAGTGTCATCAGCAAGTAAGTGGGACTTAAAAAAGACAACTGGTTTGAAGGAAGCAGAATTCCATTTTTAGCTTTGAGATTCATATACTACTGGTGCGAGGAGTTGACATCGATTAAATTTTGTGAAAAGAACTTGATTTATCGGATAAAACTGTTATAGATTGGAACAATTACATGCGTGAATTATGCGTCTTGGACAATAAACCAAACAAGAAGGTAGGTAGACCAGATTGCATTGTGGAAATTGATGAAAGTTCATTTACTAAGCCTAAAAATAATTGTGGTCAAGTATTACCCGAACAATGGGTGTTTGGTAGTATATGTAGAGAAACAAAAGATTCATTTGTTGTCACTGTTCCTAATAGAACGGGCTCTACCTTTGTTAATAAAATTATTGAACCATTGCAGATGGTAGCACAATTTATTCTGACAGTTGGAAAGGTTACCAAACAAATAGAATAGAAAAAGAAGGATTCCTACATGCTAAAGTTAATCATAAATACAATTTTATTGATCCTGAAACAGGAGTTCAAGTTGAGAGAATATGGGGCAGTGCTAAATGGAGGAACAAGAGACATAGGGGAAACAGCAAGACATCATTTAGAATCTTATTTAGCAGAGTTCATATGGCTTTTAAAGGATTCGAAAATAACTATGGATTTAATATGAAAAAACACTTTAATTGCAGATACAGTCAAAAGTAGTTAATTCGGACACCAATAATCCGGACCTCAAAGCTAAAATCTTTCTGCGCATGCGCTGCGTTGATGTATGCTCATAGGCGTTTATGCGTGCGCGCAAGACATTTACGACTGCGCAAGCACAGAATACGTTTTCGTGTGCGCGTTTAATGTATAACAGACGGTATAAGCTAAAATTATCTAATTATCTATTTCAGTTAATGTTGATGATTGCGTTATTCCTTAATCTTCGAATTGGATCCGGCTTATTATTTTTTGCAGACTGTAAGAGCAATTTTATAAAAGTAAGCTTGAACTTTTGATTATGCCAAATAGAATTTCCGATGCTGGAGCTCCCAAAGGATCTAGAAAACGAAAGTATGATTCGATGTCCATCAAACAAAAAACGAATTGTTACAAAAAATGGATAAAGGTACATCCTTTGTTTATCTAACCGTTCCGAAATCTGTTCATCAATTTCACGCTGCTCTGCGCGGGAAGGGGGGGGACATCGCGGTGCGCAATGAACTGGAAGTTGATCTGTCACCACTCGTTATCTTCAGGGCAGATGTTTTTATTTTATTCGGCTTATAATTCCTTACTAATGTAGTATTTAATCTCGATGTACTCCGTCTTTGATATGATTTAAATCAAATTCCTCGTCATAATAAATATCACGAATACAAATCAAATTTTTTTCCTGGTTGCAATTTTCTAATTCGGCTATGCATAAGGTACGCATGCGCGTGTTGAAAGAAATGTTTAATAAAGTAAACAAATAAATATTAAGCTTCTTTTTTTTTTTTTTTTGTAAATTTTGATACCCTTTAGATCATAATTGCTCATTATTTTATAAATTACGGTTTCATATTTTTAATTTTATAATTTCTGTATGCCATCTTACCAGATTTAAACTGATGACCTATAATCCAGAATCGCCGAAGTCCCGATGAGTCCGGATTAAAGACTTTTGACTGTATTTACAAATTACAGTTATTCTTACAGAAACAATAGCGTTTATTTTTAAAACATAAAACTTAAACAAAGTTGAGTTGTAGCTGGTATTACTCAAACAACCTTCCACCCTGCAATATGTAGGATACCTATAAATTGCAACACAGGTTATAAATCAGGTCTATTGGGAATTTTAACACGTCGACCAGCTCTAGTAACAAAATCTGGGATTTTGGGGTAATGAATCGTCATTTTCACTGGAATCTGAAGCATTAGCTGCAGGGCGTAGAGGCATATTCGTAGAGGCACTTTCATTCCTTCGAGCATCTTGGGCAATGAATGGTAACTTTTCTCAAACTGCAGATTTCTAATCGATATAGTCTTTGGAATGGTCTCAACTTCTCTCCATCAGTTGTTCTCACTCTGGCAACTCTTGAGTGCCCATCTGCTCCAGAAAAAACTTAAATGACGATTCCTAAAGGCCAGTTGATACGCTTGCCATCAGTTTCTAAAAGAACAACCATTCCAACTCTTAAAGATTCTTCCCAGCTCTTACCTTTATGAATCGACATTGCTAAATATTCATTCCGAAATCTCATTCTTAAATCCTGCCTTAATTTTTGTACAAAATGCAATCTTATATTTAGGCTTTTACTGTCGATTTCGTCTAAATCAGTTGTTTCACTGCTAGGAATACTTTGTAAGAAACAAGAGGGAATTTATGGCTTCAGACCTTCAGAACTGTCTTCAATATATGCAAGTGGCCTAGAGTTTATTGTAGCTTCGCAGTCACTTAGAATAGTTTCCAACTCTTCATAGTCAAGACTTTTCCTACCCCAAATTCTTCTTGGCATCTCTTTCAACATTCTAACCATGCGATCCCACCATCCTCCCCACCAAGCGACTGTTGGAAGGTTAAAATTCCATTTGAATTTCTTGATAGTGGAAAACAACATGATCTTCTCCCAATTTAAATTTCTTAGAGCATTGCTTGAACCAACGAAATTTGTACCGTTGTCAGTGTAGATTATATTTACTCTACCTCTTCGAGCAAAGACTCTTCTTAAAGCCATAATAAAAACTTCTGTAATACAGTTGTCCATATAAAAAGACTCTGAGTCGACAAGCTGTTTGCTTCCTTTCATCCGGAGCGTTCTCTAGATGGTAAGCTATAGTTGCTTCTAGTAAAAATGCTTTTTTGATGTCCGATGTTACGCCAATTGCGTTTTTTCGAAACTGCATTATCAATTTGGGTACCAATTCCAATAAATTTGGCCCTTTTTCTAAACAATTATTCAAGGAATTTCCTTTGGAAGCTTTCATCGACGCATTGAAAACCGGACGAATTTTTGTTGTTTGTTATCACAGGTTGTTTTTATCACAGTTATTTATCACAGGATGATGTGGTAAATAGTGTCCGTTTTTCTCGTCTTTCTACAATTTCAATAATTCCATCCCGAACCCACTCATTAAACACATCATCGTATTCTCTTAAATGTCTAGATCGTATGAGATTTTTGGTAGTTGACAATAACCGTTTAGTGGCTAATTCTTTATTTGTTTCCAATTCTAGACATCCACTTTTCCATGGCAAACATACCTCATATCTTTTGTCTTCGTTTCTTTTAATAGTTTTATGGAAAAAATCTACCATTTCTTCATCAGTTACCTGCTTTGACTATACTTCTGCAGGCCATCTTATACCGATGACATTTAGGCTCCATAATTCCGTCAAATCTAAATTATTAGCATATACAATACTCTCCAAAGATTTTGAGTAGTTCCTTTGTTTACCTTGAAGCGTCAATCCAAGTTTTGTTTTAATAGCTACCAAATTATTATCAATGGGCTCAATTCTCCCAGTCAATAATGCGTAAAGATAATCTGCTCCTATTAATAAACCTATTTCAGGCACATATTCTCCTGTATCACTTAAGCGTATATTTTTCTTTTTCAAAATTGGATAAATATCAGGATCCTCTACATGTGGAATCACACCACATATCTTCTTTTCGTCCAAAACTGAAATAGTGTACTTGAAATTTGAACACAAGCTTTAATGTAATAGTGTAGACATTATGGGACTCTTGTTTAGTTTCACTGCCCCCAAAAAGTCCATGACTCATCATTTCTCGATCTACAAGTTTCAATCCTAGTTTCTCCGCAATATCTTTTCATATGAAAGATCTCTGAGCACCAGTATAAAATAATTTGCGAATGATTGCGGACTTGTCATCATTGATGATTTTCACCAATACAGTTAACAATAACGGAGAATTTTTTGGTGACTGCTTCATCAAAGAACCTGTCCATCCAATTCAGATTGTTTGCCTTGTTTTGATTGATTTAGATTTGGACACATAATGCTATGGTGTTTTTTCTTGCATATAATACACTTTAAATAAGCTTTGCAGATCTTAGAATTGTGTCCTGATTGCAAACAGACAAAACAAGCTCGCCTTTTCTTCAATGTTTCCCTTTTCGCGTCCAATGACATCTTGGCAACCTTAAAACATTCTGAGGTATTATGAAATGACTTATTACAAAATATACAATGTTTGCCATTTTTCTCAGCTCTTTGCTTTTCATTAGATACAATACAAGCTGCAGTGGGAATTTTTTCTTTCATTTTCAATTTTTCAAATTGATCATTCGCAAACCCTGATCGAGCAAGTTGTAACCGCTCTTCACTTTCGACTTCCAAACGAAGAAATTCTAATAAATATTTTAACATGTTCATCTTGTCTTTATTTTCTACATGGTTATGTGTGCGTTCCCACTCCTTGATAAGAACTTCTGGCAGAGCTGATTATACTAAAGGATATAACATTGCTTCATATTTTTCAGACGTTACCTCTAAAGTCTCCAATGCTCGCGGCTGAGTCTCCAATTTATCATAAAGAATCCGCAAAGTAAAATTTTCACCAGTTTTCACTTGCGTAAAAACTACATTTAAAAGTTCACGAACATAAATTTGAATTAATAGTTCATCTTTAGCAAAATGAGATTTCAGCTGTTCAATAGCATTATAATGGTTTTCGTCAAATGGTGGAAAACTTGAAACTAAATCTCTAGCCGATGAACCTTCTTCAGTTGCTTGTAAAAGATACTGAAATTTATCATCTGCATCAATGCTATCATCATCATGAATCTTTTTAAATTTGTCCCCAGAATCCTAGCCAGTTTTTAATATTCCCATCAAAATGTTTCAATTCTAACTTAGACGGAAATTTTGCTTGGTTTCATTTACTACACTGGAAATATCGCCCTTTCTTTCAGTGTTTGATAACATAAAATCAACTTCCGTTTTCATAGCAACCCACTGATTTCGATAGCTTTCCATTAAATCGATATCATTAGAAAATTCATATTCATTAAAATTTTCCATTTCAAGCCATTTTACTTTAACTTTTTCATCTAACTGAAACAATCTGTCAGCTTTATCGTTAAATATATTAAATACAGATATCAAATCAATCTTACTTACTGCTTCATCTTTTAGAACAGTGTCCACTTCTTTCAAAGAAATTGTGAAATATCGCCTAGTTGTGTTCTTTCCCGTTTTAAATTATCCATAGTCCTGCTGCATGGACGCCAGTATTTTAAAGGATTTGAAAATAACTATGGATTTAATATGAAAAAACACTTTAATTGCAGATATTTAAAAAGCAGTTATTCATACAGAAACGATAGAGCTTATTTTTAAAACATAAACAGAGTTGAGTTGTAGCTGGTATTACTCAACCAATGGCAACAGCATCAGGTGAATGAAAATAGACTCTGTTTTGAATCTATGTTAAACTCTATATCGGTCCATTTTCCACCGAAATCCGATTGACTACTTTGATTTTAAATAAAGCATTTTAATTTATGATTTGTTGCACAAATTTTAGGTGTAGCTTGGTGGCACTTAAAAACCGCCAAATCTGCAGCTGCGGTGGCGTTAATATGTAAGTACCAAAAAATTTCATGACTCTACAAGTTGATCAAATAACTCATAGTAAATAATTAAATCCTGCTTTTTAAGTTACACAGACAGAATAATAGAAAGTTTCTCTGTTTTCTTTACATTATATAGAGTTTTAATGGTCTTTTCTGCAACAATTATGATTATAAATAAAAGCAGCAAACATACTTTAGGATATGGGCTATGTGTTTCTTCTTTCAACAAGCCATATAACTGCTGAACCTTGCATCTGTACTTAGAATCAGCTACACGATGCCTCTTTCTACAAGAATCCATATTTTGCTCCCACAGTTATAACTCTAATTTAGATAGATAGAATATGATAGATATAGGTGATAGAATATGAAAGTGTTTTACAATCTGAAACAATTTATTAAAATTAACTATATTCCTTCAGCTTTCAATTTAAACGTTAATTTTTGCTTGAAATTCTGAAAACATAAGCAAAAACATTTCTGCATACATAAAACAGATAAATAACAATTTGTAAAACAGAAACTATATTACACACATAGGTACGGAAACCAATTTGAATAAAACAAAATTTCAATGACTAAATAAAAGGAATTTAAATAATTACTTTTTTAAATAGTAATTAATTAAATGTACAGATTGTTAAAACCAAATCAAAATTATTCTGCAATTAAATTTTTATACATATTTATGAATTTGATTTGCTTTTAAAATAAAAAGGAATAAATAAGATTGATATACTAAAATTAATCACTCAAAGATAACATACTTTAATTTTTATTCACAACATTTACATAAATAGCCTTTGTATACTACAGTTTACATTGCCCACATAAATTATTTATTTATACATGATTAATTACTGTTTCATATTACATAATGTATTTAAGATTTCATTATATTCATTGGACTCTTACATGCACCCTCAAGTCGCCAAATTTCTCTCCAAACATTTCTGGCAAGAAAATTACGCTGCCATATTACTATTTAAATTTTGTGTGTACATTTCGAGCTTTAAGCTTAAAATGTCTCCTAAAATGCGGTTTGAACACACAATTTAAGCTAAAAATCCGAAACAAAAACAAAAAATTTAGATAGCAAAAACGTAAAGTTTCTAACCAAAAATATTTGAAAGAATCCATGTACACAGCGATATGTTTTAACTTAAAAAAAAAAATCTACGAATTGCACAATCTAAGCAGCGAAAGAATCTACGAACTACGCACACCTCGCTTTAATAAATTAACATAACAATAAATTTCAAAGAATACCATATACATAGCGTTCTGTTTCAACTTAAAAAAACATCTACGAATTGCACAATCTAGGCACTCTGCATTAATCAACAAAATAAACTAAAATATATTTCAAACAATTCAAAAAAACAACAATAACAAGAAAAGTTCATACAAAAAAAAAAAAAAAAAAAAAAAAAACTGAACATAACATTCTACAAAATAAGAACAAGAATAAAATAAAATGCACTTACATTGAATGAATGCTTTTTTTATAGCAAAAATACCAATTTCATGACATCACGTAATCACTATTGTATTTATATGACAGCCGGACACACTATCTAGAAAATTCATACTATGGTTCACAAATAAATGTTCGAAATATTCTTTTCCTAAATCCTTGTAAGATTTCCAGCCAACAACAGCACAACAACAAAAAAAAAAAAAAAAAAAAAAAAAAAAAAAAAAAAAAAAAAAGTTGTGCAAGGCTCAATCCACTCTTTAATACACTGCATCAGCGTTTCCTTATTTCTATCATGCACAGCCACTAAAAATAATCTCCCAGACCCTCTTGCAACATAGGCCATTTCAAAATATGCACAACACGAACCAACGAGCAAATAAACCAATCCAGCAAAGGAGTATTTAACGTCAAAAGGGTTACCATACAACAAGCAATCACACCAAAAACCAGCACAGAACACATATCGCCACATTTGGTGATCTTAGGGCGCTTATCAGAGTAGAGCCTATTCAATTATTAGAATATCAGTTACGATTGAATTTTTTTAAATGTTGTAGCCTTTTTATCTTCTCCCAGTATATTAAGTTTTTAGCAAACAAATAACTTATAATTTTTCATGCAGAGGTTATGCTCTAGAAGTATAAATTTTAGGCTACCTAATTGGATTTTCAATTCATATATATACATTCACATTAATAACGATAAAATATTCGGCTGATCTTTATTGTACAAGTACCCTTGGTTTCTGTCTGAAAAAAAATCGCCAAGCGGTGTTGGTTTTTCATGAAATATGAAAGTCTGCTGAGTGAAATAGGTTTTTCGGTAACCCTAATGTTGATAATAATGGGAAAAATTGTGGATTTTTTCATTAAAAAGGGGTTATTTCTGCGAATATCGCCAACGAGTTGCGATAAATTGAGGTTTTGGCTATTTTTTGTAATATTAACCCTTTTGTCATGGATTGGGTTTTTTTATTCTTACCATTCTTTCCAACTGCTATGTTTGGATGCATGTGCATTGGTGTTCTATTTTCACGTGGGTCCCATCATTTGAATATGTCCGAGGTAAGTAAGAAGATGAATGATGATGGTTTGGATACTATTATACAGTCAAAAGTCGTTAATTCGGACACCCATAATCCGGAATGATCTATAATCCAGACCTCAAAGCTACAAACTTTCAGGGCATGCGTCGCTTTGACGCATGCCCAGAAAGTTTACCTTTACGGCTGCGAACATGCGTGTGCGCATGGGCATAATACGTTTACGCATGTGCGTTTAATGTATAACGGACGGTATAAGCTAAGCTAAAATTATCTAATTCAGTTAAAGTTGCAGATTGCGTTGTTCCTTAATCTTCGATTTGGATCCAGCTTATTATTTTTTGAAGACTGTTAGAGCAATTTTATAAAAATAAGCTTGAACTTTCGATTATGTCAAATAGAATTTCCGATATATATTTACTAATATGTAAAGGATCTACAAAGCGAAAGTATGTTTCAAAGTCCATTAAACAAAAAGTGGAATTGCTGCAAAAAATGGATAAAGGCATATCCTTCGTTTCTCTAACCATTCGGAAATATGTTTATCAATTTCACGCTGCTTTGCGGCGCGCAATGAATTGGAAGTTGATCTGTCAGCACTATCCTTATCTTCAGGGCAGATGTTTTTATTTTATTTGGCTTATAATTCCTTACTAAATGTAGTATTTCATTTTGATGTACTCCGTCTTCGATATGATTTAAATCAAATTCCTCGTCATTATAATTCGCTTCCGATAGTCAAGAAAGTGACACAGAGGTTATTGAAAACGAAAAAATTTCGATTGACAAATCAGTCGGTATTCTCGACAGAGCAATTATAGGACTTGAACAGTGGAACTTTGTAACTGAAGAAGAAATTATGTCTGTTTATAGAATTAAAGAGGAAGTATTATCACATAAAACGAAGTAACTTAAACAACTTGCATTAAAAGAAATGTTTAATAAAGTAAACAAATAAATATTAAGCTTTTTTTTTTGTAAATTTTGATACCCTTTAGATCATGATTGTTCTTTATTTCATAAATTATGGTTTCATATTTTTAATTTTATAATTTCTGCATGTCATCTTACCAGATTTAAACTGATGATCTATAATCCGGAATCGCTGAAGTCCTAACGAGTCCGGATTAACGACTTTTGACTGTACATATTTATCTGCCATTAACAGTGGATGAGCCGAAACGAACAAAAATTTAATTGAATTACTTATGTGGAGCATGGAGGAGATGGGGTGATGGGAAGCGTTAACATACGCACATGAAAAAAAGAAAAAAAAGATATGTTAAAAAATTGATGTTTCCTTTATTTATTTATCTCTGTGTGTTAATTTTGGTTAAAAGATTTGTTGTTTAATGTTTTTACGTTAGGATATAAGTATTTTTGGTTATTTATTCCTCCCTATTTGTGTACTTTTGGTTATTTGTTCGTCTCTGTGTGTTAAGACAGCAATGAATTTTTTCTGGTTAACATGATAGTTTTAAACTTTGTTTTAGCTTCCTGATTTTGTTTAAGTGAAAATAGATCTATGTGTACATGGACAAAGTTAAGGTAGTGCACAACGCCTAGTTTGTGAAATTCTCTGATGTTTTTTTAAATTAAAATAGGTCGATGTGTACATGGACATCGAGTTTGTGAAAGTCTTCGACTTCTTGTTTTGATTTTGTGTAGCAGGCAGAAGGATCGGCTCCATCTTGAAATTGGTGCTGATCTTTCCTTTTGCTGATCATGTCATCAAAAAAGAAACGATTTGCCAATGGGTACCATAGAGTAAATTTTAACCAAATATTCAGTGAGAAAAGTTTTTAGGTGCCATAAGAATGCATGGAAAATACGTCATAGTCATGCCAATTTCACTGTTACTCTTTTGAAAATAATAGATGAAACCTTTTGCAGTACAATTTACAGTCAAGTTTTTTTAAAGAGGCTAGATGTAGGAACAAACAACAGGAAAATAAAGTAAGTTACCTTTCTTAGAAATGTGCTTCAGGAGTGTGAGGTACCTGTTTGTCTTTTTGCATCACTTAAAATTTTTTAATGAGCACTCTTCTACCAAGCCAACTATGGCTTACAAATATTTTCATAGGAAAAATAGAAACTTATGATAGCAGTTAGCCAAACTGGCCTTTCAAACTAACAAAAGTTCATGTTACAGTAAAATATTTGACATTAGAGCTGTTACTGATTCTGTACATATCTTGTATGTGGATAACTGGTACACAGAATGCAAAATACCTGAAGAAACCTTGTAAACTAAATTTAAGATAGTCAGAGCACTAAGGCTGCTATCACACATCGGTTTGTTTTGGAACAACTGTTTGGAACAATTTTTCTGCTTTGTCACAACAGTCAATCATCATAGATCGCTTTGGGGGTTAACACAGGAGAAACTGGTTCCTCATTATAAACAAGCTGATAACTGATTGGTTGAAAACCAACAACTTACAATTTTTTTGGAAAGGAAGGAAAAGTCGCATGTCTTTCTTTTAATAGTAAACCAGGCAGAAAAATTACCCAAAACATTTGTTCGTGTGAAACAAATGCCCGTAGGATATGGGCGCAATCAGACCTTTTTGTAAGTCTAATAAAGCACTCTGTCTATTCTTAACAGCAGTACTTTGAAAGGTTTGCAAAATGTTTGTAAATCACACTCTATAATAACCACCAATTCTGCATTAATCATGAATAAAAAGAATTTGTAATAGCTATTTTATTCTGATGTTTGTATGGTATTTATTTCATATCTGCTATTCCTTTAATCAAGATAACTCTTGTTCATCTATTGTTATTTTTCTGTTGTCATTTTATGCCAGCATTGATAGCAACAGCATAAAATGATGATAGAAAGACGACGATAAATGAATTATATGAGAATTTTCTTTCAAAATAATTATTGAATTGTTGTAAAATAATTCATAAAACAACAGATTCTATGCATGACAAATTTTATTTGAATATTTTTGATATCATAAACTAAAATATTATTCTTTCTATTGAAATCACCATCTAAAGACAAATTTGACAAAAAAAAAAAAAAAAAAAAAAAAAAAAGCAATAACAAGAGTTAATAAAATACCTCTTTTCTGTCTTTTCCCAATATATTTGTATCGTTTACATATTAAATATTGAAGACTAAAATGTGGTATAAATATTTAATTATTATAAAGTACTGGAAGGCATCTGCCTTAACAAGATTCCCATTGTAGAAGAATTTTAGAAACAATTACTTGTATTTATATTACACATAACCAAAAAAATATGAAAAATTCATACAGTGAATTTGTTTACACCCAATACAAACTACCACTTTTCAGTGGCTTTATTCATTATAAAGCAAATAATTAATAGCTTCTGTTCAATTCAAGATCATTTACACAACACCATTCTTTACTTTTTATTACGATACTTATTATGCAGCTGTCAAACTAAATTCACTAATTTTAAATTAATACATTAATGCATTGCTTGTAATTTAATTGCTTTCAAAAACAAGATACATGTTTACAATGCCAAATTTGATTTTAAAAAAGACCTCAAGTTACCAATATCTGAAAACTTAATAACCCTATCTATAACATGTGTAAATTTCAAATACTGTTTAAAATATATTCAATGGCTACATTAACAAGCATCAAATATATTTTTTCAATAATTATCAAAAAAGTTTATGTTTTTCTTTTAAAGTTAATATTTTACAAATCTAATTAATCATTAAAAGTATTTATTATTTAAGACACTTTCTTAAAAAAATAATTAATCTCTAATATACAATAATCAGGAACATTTATTAGAGACACAAAGAATGAAATGGAATTTATCTAATAATGATAAATATGAAAATTTTAAATCAAAATACATAATGAAACTGAATAAATTAAGAACAAAATACGACAAGAGTACAGAAAATGCAAAACCTTATTGCTATCTCTGTCTTCAAACATAACTGTAGTTAACAGTTTTTAAATAATACACTAACAGAAATATTTCTTTATTAAAGTCTCAATTTCAATTCATAACATAAAATGAGTTAATAAAATGGTGCTACTTTGGTAGACGGTTGCACGGATTTTGGCGATTTTCCTTTGGCGAGTAATACAACTTATGGTAAACCCATTGCTGGATAAGTTATTTATGGTAACCGATACTTTGTTGTCATTTTATTTAAAAAATAATGTGTTTTATTGTGCATATATTCTGTGTTTAAAATATTATTTATGGCTTTTAAATATTAAAAATCAATTTAATTTTGCATTTTTATTTGAAATAAAAATTTTATTGTTTATCATATTTTATGAAATTTTTATGTTGTGGATGATGTAATCAATGACGTCACCTTACTTTAAAAGTAATTCGTTTTAATATGTATAAATTTTAATCTAATGTTTTAAAACATTATTTATGGCTCTTAATATTAAAATACAATTTAATTTTGCATTTTTTAAAAGAATGATTTTATTATGTATGAATTTTTAAATAATTTTAATTCTAGCCGTGATGTAATAAGCTCTCTGATTGGTTATAGAATATTTGTGCATTAACGAGCTGTAATCAGCTCCCTGATTGGTTACTGACAATTTGTGCATTTCCGCGCCGTTTTAAAAATTTAATTTATATCTTCGAATTCCTTCAAAGATGTTATCTAAATTATGATTCTGATTTTTTTATTGTGGTACTTATCAGTAAGAATAGGTTAAACATTCAAAAAATGTAAGTACATATTTTTCTTTTATTTTATAATTGTATACTTCAATTTTTGTTAAAAAAATTAATACACTATTTTCAGAAATTGCTGAGATAATTATTGTCCATATGTTTTTTAATGTTTAATTATATTCTATATAACATATTTTAAAGTATTTGAATTTAATAATATTCTAATTCTTTTAAATGTTGGTATGATGGTTTTTAATTCGATATTCAATTTCAGTAATATTTTTAATCTAATTAAACGTTGGCCCAATGTTTTTATAGCGGTGTTTTTATTCTCTTCTTTGCTATATGAAAGTAATAATAACCTTACTTTAGTATTTTATACTCATAGTAAATGTATTTATTTACACTTGCCTGCCATCTTAAAAAACGACATTTTCAACAAAAAATTAATCCATTACTTTTAACGATATTTATTTATTTATTTTTTAAGTTTCGAATACTTTACTATGCATAAAAACAGCGTTTTTCAAGATGGCCGACGTTTTTAAAAACCGCGCCAACGTAAACCGCCAAAAATCCGTGCAACCGTCTATCAAAGTAGCACCAATAAAATTATTGTGTGAATTTATTGTGTTTGTTATTTAAAAAATTGTATTTTAATTGACCTAACATCTTGCGTGCATATATATATATATATTTCGAAAGTGTTGGTTTGGTTTAGTTGAAAGAAAACGAAATCAGGCTAAGTGATGAGAAGTGAAGCATTAGTCCCTTGTCTTCAAAGGAAAATAAAGTCTATCCTTTTATTCCCAACGATATTCATTCCCTTTCAATCCTTTCTTTTGAAATTTTGGTACTATTCGGTTTCGAGGGCCGTAAAAAATCGCCAAACTATTGTTGATGCCAAAGCTGCCAAAAATAATTGCGGCAAGAAAGGAAGTATAATAGTAAATAACTATCTAAGATTGATGTTTTAATTTAGAATGAATACTTTTTTATTATTATAATTTATATAAAAAAGGCCTAAACATGACTGAATGGAAGCAAAAGAGTAAATAACTATTTCAGATCATTATTATAATTTATTTATAATTTATATAAAAATTGCTAAACATAACTGAATGAATGTCTGCATCGCTATTTCGTTACCGACTTATCGCTAAAGCATAATTTCATCTCGTTGGTTGTTCAAACGTAATTCTCTATGATGAATGATGCCTTTTCTTTGAAAACATTCTCGTTAAAGTGCAGAATTGCCCACTTATTTGTTTGCCGCTTTTTACAAGGCTAAAAAAATTGGATTTTTGTCAATTTTCTTTGACATTTCAAGTGAAAATAGGTCGATGTGTACATGGATAAAGTCAAGGGAATGCACAATGCCATTTTTGTGCAATTCTGGGATGTTTTTTTTAAGTGAAAATAGGTTGATGTGTACATGGATACCGAGTATGTGCAATTCTTAAAAACGTGTCAAACAGTGGGTGATTCTGCACTTTGCCCAAAATTCTATTGCCGACTTTTCGTCATGGGCAATTCCCAAATTGTTAAATCCATAGGATATTAAAAAAGGATTTAAAATCAAAAAAAAAAAGGATTTAAAAATTAAACTAGTATTTCAATGGCGTCTTAAGAAATATAGAACTATATAAACTTACGCAATCTGAAATCAGCGGGTACGCTAGATTTGGCACTTTTGCGCATATATTTTCGCTGCAATTTTTTACGGTCCTCAAAACGGAATAGTACCGAAATTTTTATTGGCTTTAGTGTAGAATTGCGTGCCGCTTCGATTGGCGACATTTTTTTTTTTTTACATTTTGGCGATGAAACCTCATTTCTGGTTACCACGATAGTTTTTAACTTCGTTTTAGCTTCCCGATTTTATTTAAATGAAAATAGATCGATGTGTACATGGACATATATAAGGCAGTGCGCAATGCCTAGTTTGTGCAATTCTAGGATGTTTTTTTAAGTAAAACAGATCGACGTGTACATGGATACAGATCTTATGCAATTCTTCGACTTCTTATTTTGCTTTTGAGTAGCGGCCATCTTGAAATTGTGACTTCCTGGCGCCGACCTTGGCGTCAAAAAAGAATCGCCAATAAACAAGGGGCACCCAATTGTAAACTTTTACCTTTTTATTAATTATAATTTCCTTTTTTAAATATATGTGCAAAAAGTTACCAAAGTGATTATATTTAACAGATAATTAATTATAATTATTAATTCTTAATATGGCTTTATCTGACATTGCATCATTAAATATGTAAAAAAGACTCACAGCAGCTCATCTGAACAATGGCTTCAATGTGTCCAGGTAGAAGTTTCAAATTTTATCCGGAGAAAAATAATGAAATTAGATTTCGACGCACATCGACAAATTTAAGTTTTAATCTTACTTTATTATGAATTTTGCCCTTATTTCAGTCAATGTTATTGTAGCCTACAACTCAAAATATCCCATTATTTTATTTAAAAATAAAACAATATCTCGCGCAAATATGCTGTGAAAACTATATCCACCATAAGAGTCACACTTTTAAAATAAAAAGATTAATACAGAAAATTAGTTTTTAACTATTTAGTAATAGAACTTACTTAGATAAGAAAATGAAGCAAAATAAATATGAACCAATTCGAAAATTTTTCTTTCAAAAGCAGTACAGAAATTTCAAGAAATTAGTGAGTTCAGAAGAAACAGAGTTCAAATAAGAATTTTCTCAAACTAAGCGCGAAACCAAAATTAATATCTGTAATATTATGGTTGCCAACATATCATTAAAAATATTCCTATAAAAAGAAGCGTCTTTAAATTCACTACTTACATTGTGTTGAAATAAATATTTAATCGTAGTTTTTGATATTTCTTGCATGCAGAATTTGACACTTTATTCTCAAAAATTGTTCGAAGATACTGCGCTATTTTTAAGTTTTTCATTTTTTTAACTGACAAAAGGTTTTGTACATTTTTCCCACGGTGTGCATTAAATAAATTTTATTCTGTTTTCTAACAGTGAATTGATGCTCATCTGTTTCTCAGAATCTAGAGTGTATTTTCAGCAGATAATGTCTTTAATTTAAGCACATAATTAATTTAATGGTTAATGGCAACAGAAATGAAGAGGTGGGATTAACTTTCTGTGAGAAGCATCATTGCAAAGCTGTAACAGCTTTGGGATCATTGTTTGTTTCCAAGATGCCGCTGCCGGTACAAGTTTCTCTTGGGCTCTTTCAGGTATAAACTGTTTTGAATAGTAGGTAAAAATATTGTTTCCCTGAAATAAAATGTCTGTTGCAGTCAGGATTGTTTTGATTTTTATGTATCAGTGAGTTTCATTATTGCGTAGAATTATGATTAAGATGAAATCACGTATTTACATTTATTTCTCTTTCTTCGTGAAATAGCTTAAAAGTGTTGTGTCATAGAAGCGTGAAGAATTATCGTATTGACTAAATCTTTAGTAGTTTAGCACCTTCTGTCACTAAATTTAATTATAGTTCTCTTCGTGGAATATAGATTGCGAGCTAAGAACAATTTTGTAAGCTGAATATTCCACGTTTTGAAATGATATGATATGCTCAGACGTAAGAATTACGAAATATTGTTGAAATCTAAAGATTTATACAAAAGCTCTTTTTAGCAGAGAGGCAATATGGGATGTGACAGGGAAAAAAAATTTAATCAATAAATAATAAGATAAATATTGTATTCACACTCGATATTACTGTGCCATAGTGTGTCTGTTGTTCCATTGAGATATGTACAAATTAAAAGATGTTAATTTGACTGGGGAAAATATATTTCAGGGTACCCCTTGGCAAAAATTGGCCAGTTTTTTTGGCATTATTATTATTTACATGCTGCAATAAAACCTAATTAAAACATAACAAAATTATAATTACAATAAAATGCACTTTAAATCAAAATAAAACAAGTGAATAACATAAAAAGAGATACATGTTATCTAATCTGTGCAGTATAAATACCTTATTTAAAAATTTCTGTGCCTTCAGTGTGTTGCACACAGGATTCCTTAACAGCGTTCAAAAACTGTTTACAATTAACTGAACTAGAATCTGTATACTGCCGTAGCCAGATAACTTCACAAAAGTAAAAATCAAAATTATCCTCCAGACTGTCAGTGGCATTTCTTTTGAAAATCCCTTTTTATTACACCTCCCATACCTTCCATAGTGTTGATATGAGCTCTGGTTTCCAAATCTTTAAATGTCGCTGCTTAATTTACTGAGAGGTGAATGAAGCCCTTTAAATCCTCATTTACACATCAGCTAATCAATGTTTTCTTTCCCATTTGTTCTAAAGCATACAGAAACTTCAGGTTAATCATACCACTAGCAGGCATTTTACAGTGTAAAGAACAAAATAAGCAACATACTTCCTAACCAACATCCAACGCATAAATAAGCCTCGAGAAATATTTAGTTGATCTTTGGATTATGGAAACTTGGCGAAAATTTGGCGACCAACTCTGCTACAGCAACCCTCTATTTTTTTTTCGCCACCATTTTGTCTTCACAAAGTAAAGACATGTTTCTTTTCTTTTTATTTACTCAACACTTTTTCCAACAATCTACTAGCCGAATTACACTTATGCTAGAAATTTTATGTAACAAAACTGCTTAATCATGACAAATATTAACTGCAAAATTGGGAAAAAGTGCACAATCGCAAACTCCTTGCGCGTTTTTCAGAATAGCACATACACATAAACCATTTACACGTCGACTTATTTTTACTTAAAAAAAATCCCAGAATTGCAAAAAAATGGCATTGCACACACTATTAACTTTATCCATCTACACTGCTATTTTCTCATAAATTACAAAAATGCAGGAAAATTTTCTTAATCTTTAAACTTGATAAAAAGCACATATATGAAATTAAATGATCGCGAAAAAGTACATACCCTTTCCAAGGATGAACATTTCCACGTATAAAATAAATAAAATATCCAAAAACTTTTACCTTTAAATTATCTATTATATTATAAATGTGACTAACGAATTTATACGCAAACATTAAAAATAGTTACAAATACTTAGTGTCAAATATTTAAATTATTTCCATACACGTTTACTTCAACTGAAACGTATACCAAATTCCTACAAACATAAAATTCACAAAATAACTATCATTTAATTAAAATATCACTAAGCCATGTACACGTCGACTTATTTTTACTTAAAAAAACATCCCAGAATTGCACAAAAATGGCATTGCGCACACTCTTCACTATATCCATTGACACGGCTTTTTTCTCATAAATTAGAAAAATTTCACGAAAATGCATCAAAATACTCAACGTATACTACTCAAACGTATTCCAAAATATTACAAATTTATAACTCACAAAATCATGATCATTAAATTAAAATATAATTAAATTAAAAAACACTACTTAAAATATAAATAAGCACATACATTAAATTAATAAAATTAGATTACAATCCTAATTACTTTAAACTAAATCATTGCTAATAACAATTTTCCCATAATACTACATTAATTTATTTACTCCTTACATTAGAACAATGCATAAAAATATATCCTCAAATGATTAAAAATGCTAACTTACCTAATCTTCTTCAGAACCTTCATTACGTGGCTGCAGTACTATTGCTAATTTCTAAATCCGAAATCCAGTAGTCAACTGGAAGTCTATTCACCAAGTAATAAGAAATTAATAAAATTTCACCTATACTCAAACTACTTTCAGCAAACCACGTACCCTTCCTTACACTGCGTTTCACAAAATGTCCATTTTCACCAGATTTCTTGCACCGCCATTTAAACTTAACTGTAATATTCTTCCTTTCACACAATCTCAACTTATTATTATTATCACATAAACGCATTAAAAATTTAGAATTCACTTTACATAGCGCCATGCAATCTGAAAATTAATCAACACTATTTCACACAACACACAATGAAGCTAATACAAAATAATTTTTCCAGATTAACCCCCTTTTCCGATTAAAGAACTGTAATTCGTCCATTAATGTCACATGACATATCTCATGATCTCTCATTTCCCTCACACAAAATAATGCGTAATCGGAACAGTACTTCTCACATTATTACCAAAGTCCTTGGTACCTTATTACCTTTACCACATTACTACCTTTATCGCCTCCAAAATGTCGCCAAACTACCTGTTACCATATTCCAAAGATCAGCCAAATATTTTCCCAACAGTCAAAATCGCTGCAGTCGCGCATTATAACCACGTCATAATAGGGTTTCCATAACAGTCAATGCAAAATACTCAGGTTACCATAAATAAAACAACAACTTGGGGTACCCTAAAATATAGATTATCCATTTGACTGCTACACATATTCCTGCAGTAATGCTGCATCTTTCCAAAGTGCTGTCCTTTCCAAGTGTCTGTCAAATAAATGTTTTAACTCATTTTCATTTCCATTATGACTTTTTTTTTTTTTTTTTTTTTTTTTTTTTTTTTTTTATGTTATACATGAGGAAAGACTACCATTTTTAGTTCTTTTTATAAAAAAAATATTTGTAGAAAGAGATATCAAATCAGGTATATACAGGATTTTAAGAATTTAAAAAAAAATTAATTTAATGTCTTTGTTAGTTCAAACTGCAAAATAATGATGTGAAAAGTATGTAACAATTCAGTTGCTGAACAAAATTGACATGAAGGAAAAACACTGTTTATTTGTTACTGCAAATTAAATTCATAAACAAGGTAGGGAAAAAAAGTATCCAGCAAAAAAAGGGGGTGGCTTTTGTTACATGCACATTCATCTATAACACTTGATTAAAAAAAAAAAAAAAACATTGTGCATGGGTATAACCTGTTTTTAGTCAATGATACAACTATGTATCAAATTTAGAAAATATTAAAATGGAAAATAAATTCTAAAAATTAACAAGTTTGGTTTAAAAAAATACCGTAATTTCGCGCGTATAGTCCTCAGACTATCTGCGTTTAAAATGCGAATTTTTGAAGCTGCGGACTATGCACCAGTGCAGATAATACGCTGGTTGTTCACAGTTAAAATCGTTGAAATTTAAAAAACATGCTGTCGTGAACTGCCGATGATCAAATATAAAAAAAGCGCGAGATTCCAAGAAAATATTCGTATGTATCGTATCGATAGTAAACCATAGAGCATGGTGCAGAACGAATGAATAGTAGCACGTAGAGCTCCTAAAATTCAGGCTGGCGCATCAAACGATGCCAGGATATGAGCACTCACTTAGCACAACTAGAGTCTTGTATCCCAGTATCCTTCGCACTGCTTTAGCGCAATTGCCGGGAGGGGGAAAAGTAGTTGATGCGTCAGCTTGGTTTTTAGGAGCCTTAGTAGCAAGTACGTGGAGTACGAAAAAAAAGCATGATTCGTTTACTTATAGCGTGGTTTGGCACTACCAAGTGAGTGGGGTCGAAGGTCACATTTCATTACCACTTATCACGAGGATAGCACGTTGCACAGTATTTTGTCTTTCATCTTCGATAACGTTGATGAAACATCGCCGGAGTTTTACTGCCAAGTTTAAACTCAAGGTAGTTGAGAAAGCTGAAAAAGATGGAAATAGAGAAGTGGGCCGTTATTTTGAAGTGGACGAGAAAGCGGTGAGAAATTGGCGCAAACAAAAGGATGTGTTAAAAAGCATGGGAAGAAAGCGATCCAATCGGCACGGAAAAGTAAAATGGACAGCTTTAGAGGAAAATTTACTGAGATGGGTTCTCGACCAAAGAAATGCCGGAGGCTCCTATTTCAACAGTTAAAATCCAGTCTCCGAGCGAAGTCCATAGCAGAAGAGATGCAGAAATAGAATTTCAAGGGAGGAATAATAGGGTTTACCGCTTCATGCGTCGTAAAAACTTGAGAGTTTGCAGCAGAACAACAATGTGTCAGGCTGTTATGGACGACATAGATGAAAAAAAAGCTTCTTTCCTTCAGTTTACAAGGAAAGTTATTGCAGAAGGGAAGTATTTCCTAAAAAATATTATAAATATGGACAAAGTTCCATTAACATTTGATTGCCCACCGAATCGCACCTTCGATACCTGTGGAGTGAAAACAATATCAATAACAACAACTGGTCAAGAAAAGACCCAATTCACAGTGATGCTCGCCTGCTGTGCTGACGGCACAAAGTTGAAGCCGCTCTTATACATCTTTAAGAGAAAAACAATTCCCAAGGAAAATTTTTCTCGAAGCGTCGTAATACGGTGCAATGAAAAGGGTTGGTGCAACGAGGACATTATGCTCGATTGGTTTCAAGAAGTTTGGAAGAAGAGAGAAGGTGCCTTTTTCAATTCCAAATAAGTACTAATTATGGATTCCATGAGGGCACACATAAAAGACAGTATAAAGGCGGAAGCTAAAAAAAAAAAACATTGGTGCTGAACTTAGCGTTATTCCAGGTGGTTTAACAAAAATCCTGCAACCTCTGGATATTAGTGTGAACAAAAGTTTCAAGTCCCACGTATGTGCTTGCTGGGAGATCTGGATGTCGGAAAGTTTACATACTTTCACAGAAGGAGGAAATATGAGATGCGCTTCATACACTGAAGTTGCCGAATGGGTCGATAAATCCTGGAAAAGTGTTAAAGTGTCGCCATCCGATCGGGATTTATAAAAGCCAGGATTGTTAGTGAAAGTGAGGAAATCACTGACAGTGAAGATAGTGATGCTGAAAATGAACTTTCGGACACTCTTCCCGAAAATATATTAGAACTGTTTAATTCTGATACCGATGAATCGGACTTTGAAGGTTTTCAGATGGTGCAATCATTTAGTGACATTTGTTTAAGTTAATATTTTTATCTACTAACATTAGTCCCCTAGCAGTAACTAAGTTACGATAAAAAAATGTGGTGGGAAAATCACTGCTACATAAATGTCAACTTATTAGTTGATATTTTTTTCACAGTCATGGATTATAGATATGAAATCTGTATAAAGAAACTTTTTTAAAAGAATAATAACACGCTGCTAAAGCTATCAGCTGTCAACACAAAATTGTTTTTTAATTTTTTAAAAAATTTCTGTGTTATCATCAGGTCATTGGCATGCAGAGTTCAAATCTGGTGTGCTCAACATCTAATGATATTTGCTCAAGTTAATATTTACCTGCCGATATGAACTAAATTGTGATGCTTAAAAAAAATCTCCTGCAGGTAGGAGAATCACTGCCACATAAATTTCCACTTATTAGTTAATATTACTATTTCACAGAAATAGATTCTTTCACAAGTTCTCGCATTATTAATTGCCTAAACCACACAAGAAATATTTTCTAGGAATATTAATGTTAGCGACATCCTCGATTTCAGAATACCATATCAAGAACTTCCTTCTCAGCTCATCATTTACTCCAGAATTCTGATCACAACCAGATTCCCATAATTCTTGCATCATAAACTTAGCTCTAATTACGTATGCAGAAATTAATCCAATCGGATCAGAAATTTTGGCTACAATTTGCAAAATGAGTTTTTTTTTCGTTATTGTTTGTTCATTGAACAATACTATGAATTGTGTTACATATAAACTTAAATTTTCTTGATCCGTATCCGAATTCAAGCCTAAAATTTTTGAGGGTTTTTTATTAAAATTATTTTTCTCAATATCGATACCCTTTTTGATCCATAGTTTTCTTAAAATTCCAGAATTGCTTTTCATTTTACAAAGCTGCATGTTTGATTCTTTCAGAATATTCACTGCAGTAGTTGGATAAAATGTTTTATCATTTTCGGCCCCATGCAGGTCATCTACATACAAGAATATATCTAACCTTTCTACAACATCACTATGTTCCTCTTTATATTTCTTTATATGATATATAATAGTTGCCAGAAGCATGAAAGGTGATTGACAAGTTCCAAAAGCAATAGTGACGTTTTGTATATTTGAAATGGCGAATTTTCATCATTACCAAACTAAATAAATTTTAAATAATTTTTCGAATCTTCATCAAGCAGAATAGAATGAAACACACCTTTTACAACTGCCCCAGAAGCTATCTTGTGTAAATGAAATTTTAAAATATCTAATAAATTGCTATACAATTTAGGTCCTTGACTTAGACATTCGTTTAGAGATTTAGCACCTTGTCTTTAGACAAACAGTCGTAGACGTTGTAGTAGTTGCCTTGTCAGGGCGAATTACAGAACTTTGCGGCGCAAAATAGTAATCCCTCTCAAGTTCGCAATTAACAGCATTAGAACATTTTTCAGCTATTCCTATCTCTAATTGTTCATTAATTAATTTCTTGTATTCACTAAATAACCATTTATTATGTTTCAGTTTGTTTTTTAGTTTAAAAAACTTCTGCTTAGCAATTAGGAAATTATTTTTAAGCTCCAATTTTCTTTCGTTAAATAATAATTTAACATAGCAAAACCAGTTTGTAAATAACAGAACTATTTTCTATCTATTAACTAATCATATGCAGTCACTGGAATATAATAAAGTGTTGCATGAAATTAAAAAAAAAAAAAGTTAATGCATAAAAATTACCAATGTCTATCAAGTATAGTATTTTAATAATATTTGTTTTCTTACATTTATTATTCAAAAGTTAATTTGAAAATAAATTATGCTACAGTTCTTGATTTCTAATACACTGAAATATTTTGCTGTAGAGTTCCGTAGAACCAATGCAAGTTGATGCACCTCCGGATGAAAATGATACTTCAGAGGAAGAAGTGTACATTGTGGAAAATCCTACTTTGGTAAGTTAAATAATGAAAAATTTTCAGTAGAAATACCATGCATTCACTAAAAATTTTTTGCGTAGAACTAGATTGTGAAAAAGAGTTTCTTTGCTTCCATTTTGTTAAAATATATAATACTGTATTGCTTACTTGAAATGTTAAAAATTTAAGCTTTTCCGAGTTTTTCTTTGCCTCCCCTCCTAACCAATGTTATTGAAACTTTGAAAATTTTTAGTTGTTTAGTTATTATAGTAGTGGGTATTTTCTTTCTGATAACGCACACCCCCACTGAGAAATAACAAGGGTATACGAAACCCTTTATTTTTCTATTTTTACAGAGCTTTCCGGAACTTCGGAATACAGAGACCAACCACTTGTGGTCTGAACGTAAGAATATAAAATACTAACTAAAACTCTAACTAAAACTAACTTTGGATTAATATACAAGTGCCTACTTTAAGATTGGCCGTAATTAACAAAAAGCCGTATGTAGTACAGAGAGCTGCTAAAACTACGATACGTTTAAAATTATCAAGAGGATTAAACCTCTGGCCTTGAAGGCAACCAGCAACCGAGTAAAACTACTATGGCAAGCGGCCTGCTTCTTATAACTCCTTCCTCTCTCTTGCTTGGCAAAAAGCCACAACTTAAGTACTTGGCGTTAACAAGACAAATTTGCATAAATAAGTTAAAAGCTTTTAATTCTGGCCGGAAGTAGAAAATAAGAAGTGATAGTAAAGATTAAAAATAAAATAAACGTTAGTAAAACTTAGGATCCTTACAGTATATACAATGATTTGTTTTCACTTCGAATTCAGGCTCACCAGCAGCCGAGCGGTAAAGTCGCTGAACACTGGTAGTTCGGTCCAAGGTTCGAATGCTGCGAACGGGCTGGCTGCATGGGTGTTTTCGTGGTTTTCCCCATGTGTAACGTGTATACGAGCCAGTTTCCCTTAGAAAGTCCTCCACGAAGGCATCCCTCCCCTTAGGCAGATAGCCCTAGTGTGCTTTGCTATAATTAAATACACCACACACCACACTTCGAATTCAAAGACTATTCGAGGAAGAAGAATTCTCAAAAAGAATTTGAGAAGTATATAAACTTGCTAGCTGTGCAGTTTACTATTATGCACCAGCCACAGTCTCACCAAAATTTATAGCTAAAGTTGCCGAAAAAGAATAAAAAAGTCACATGCAGTATGAGAGATCATGTGATTCTTTTAGTGGCATCATCTCATTTGACCTCCAACATCATTACAAAATCTGTCTCTGTGCTGTAAGTTATGAACTGTAATTCAATTCTTGGCTGTTTTAATATGTATATGAGTTTTGATAAGTCTGTTTGAACTGGTTTTTTTTTTTTTTTTTTTTTTTTTTAAGTTGTCAGTTTATTTATTTATTTATTTATTTTTATTCACTGCTTCTTACTTTATTATGTTCTCCCATTATTAAATTTGTTTATGTTGATGTTTAGAAATCTGGTTTTACTTTAGTTTTTAAGTCTCCAGCTTCAAGGAGTTCTAAAAATTACATCAGTATTTCATTTTTAATTGTAATAACATAAACATAAGCATATGTGCTTACTACATGAAATGTCTGTAGATTCATCCAGTATTTGAGAAAATAATGATTTGTTAATTTCAGTTGCTTGTTCTTTGAGCAATCCAGATGAAATAACCTTATAGATGAGATGCATTTCATTATGTGTGAATATAAAATCTCAAATGAGGAATTTAGTGACATTTCTTTTTTAAAAATTTCTCTCGTTGAGTTAGTAGATTCTATTAATGCATGGCAAGCATTAAATAATGGAAACCGTTTCAGCTTGGATTGATTTATGCTGTTCTGAGAGTAGTGATAATGAGGGATCTGAAAGCTCAGCTGATCTAATTCAAGTTTGGGGAAATTGTGTAAAATGGATATAGAAACCCTCCTCCAACACCACCACCGCGATTTCCTTTCGCAGCAAATTTACTTCTTTCAAATTTATCTCCTGTAAAATGTTCTTTCTAATTTGGCAGTTTCGTCAGAAAAAAGCCAACTTTAAGTAAAAATGCTTGAATTTTGCCGTAATTAAAATTTACCTTAAATTAATAAATGCAATACTTGTAGCACTTTCGACTGCTGATTTGAATTCATGTGATCAATGAAATTATAAAATTGCTTATAAAAATATGCTTCTTTTTGGTTACAATATGTCAAGAAAATAAAACAGTTAAGTGCAGTTACGTTCTACGGTGTCTACAGTCTTGGAATTGCCAGTTGTAAATTTTTTGTAATTCTAAATATATCATTACTTTATATAAATGCATTTAAATAGATACATTGTTTTAACATGTTCACGCTTTACGATGAAGTTAAAAAAAATTGAAAAAGGACCCAAGGAATTGACAAGTGGTAGACAATATGAAAAATTACATGATCTGGTCATACTGACTGGCCAAAACAGACCTGTCTTTGCCTTATTTATTCATAATTTTTCAGCAAATGTACAAATAATCCGAAAGTAATGAAGATTTTCTTTGCTTATTATGATAAAATGTAAAAGGAATGCAATTTATGTATAGTATTCTGTGGTTATAACCCAGTATAAAGTCTTAAAATTAATCTTGCATTTTAAACTTTTTGCACCTAATGGGTGTACAAATTCCATGCTGCCCAACCGGTATAGTGGTTAGCATCACTGACTGTGGTGCCGAAGGGCCCGGGTTCGAATCCCGGAGAAGGCATGGATGTTTGTAAATGTACAGTATCGGTGGGGCATGGCGGCACTCTAAATATATGGCAAGCCGAAGTCCTCTTGTGTCGTTTGGTGGAAGAGAAGAAGGGTGGGAGACCCTCGATAGTCTCCCCCTCCAGGGTGCTCTCCATCAAAATTGGAGGTGGAACTGAGCTAAATCACACTGTCACCTGAATGGTGCTCAAGGCCTTAGCCAACGACAGGTATAATCTAGCGCTCCTTGCCACGAGGAATTATTCCATGGGCTTGAGCTGATTACACCAGACAAGTGAGCATAAGCAACAACAACAACAACAACATATATTCAGTGGCATAGTCTTGCTTAGCTTTTGGGAATGTAGGCCTTAGTTTTGCATTATATTTAATCTGTTTTTCAATTTTTATAAACACTGAAAATTATTTCTCTAAAATTAATGAAACTTATATTGTGCAGATTTCATTTCCCAGTGATTTTTGGCTAGATGTTTCATTTGACCTGAGGTATATGCAGAACTTATAAAAATTCAACCAGTTAGTATTTGTATTTGATTCTGTTTTACTTGAATGTGTGCCATTGTACTAAGTATATTCACACAATCTTTTTAATCCAGTGGTGGGCACTTGCATTTTTGAAGCATTGGCTACTCCTAAGACAAAAAGTGGTGGCCATTTTATTGTGTAGGCACGCACCTAGTAGGCAGCCACCAGTGCTTTGTATGAAGAGATGGACTTTACAACTACACTTTCTCTGGGATTCGAACCCAGACCTTTGGTACCGTAGTAGGCTTCTCTAACTGCTATACCGTCTGGGCGGTTACACAGTACTGTATACCTTAGTTATTAATTTTACAGTACAAAGTCCGAGATCCAGGTGCACCAGGACTTCAGCAATTTGGGATTTTTTCGGATATTAGATTATCAACTCAAATCTAGTAAGACGGCATGTAGAAATTAAAAATTAAAAATATGAAATCGTAATTTATGAAATATTGAACATTTATGATCTAAATAGTATCAAAATTTGTAAAAAAAGCTTGATATTTATTTGTTTACTTTATTAAACATTTCTTTCAATATAAGTTGTTTAAGTTGCTTCGTATTTAATATTTTTTCTTTAATTCTGTAGATAGACATAATTTCTTGTGCAGTTACATTGTTAAAATCCTGTTATTGCTGCGTGGATAATTCCAACTAACTTGTCAATCGAATTTTTTCATTTTCAGTAACCTCGCTGTCACTTTCTTCATTATTGGTCGCGGTATTCTCTGGATCTAGAACGATATTATAGTTCGACCGCCTCATCTGCAACCATGAGCGCAAACACTCATGCACCATTCGGACCGAATTATTCTCAAAATAGGGTGGAAGGATGGGGATTTTCTTTCCTTCCAGCATAGCTCTTTCCGAAGAAGAGAAGACCTTTCTCATCGCAGCAAGTAATACTGCCCGTCTTGGACGAGTCTGTGTGTTTTGGCAGAATGCCAACCAGGGTTGCACTTCAGACAGTCAAAGTATACATATCTTGCCATCCATTAATTGACTGATGATTGAGGAGCATTGTCAATCACAATGAAAAATTTCTTTTATATCATCTTCATTTATTACTATTTCTCCACATTTCTTTACAAAATCTGTTAATTGGAAAACTTCGCCTTTTGTTTGCAGTTCCGAAATTCTTTAAAATTTGGGACTATCACCATAAAATTTAGCTATCTTGTTCACAATTTGGTTATGTATCATGAGATTGGCGACTAAAGACAAGTTGTTCCACTAAATTTTATTATGCTTAAGTCTGAGTCTTGAATATATTCCCACAAATAGTTAAAGGTTATTGTGGGCTGGCACTGGATATCTTACTGCCTGATGCAATCTCTGTGGATCCTAAATTCTGTCGCCTGATGGAGCCATACAAGCTCTGCGCTGGTTCTGGGTTTATGTGAATAACAAATCAGTTATTCTTAATTTAAATAGCACTAAATGTAATCTTTTGGCCTATGAGTGTTATTAAAAAAAATCTATTTTTAGCATATAGAGAGAAAATTTTGTTAAATTTTTCCTCGTCAACATTTCTTAGCACATTTATCTTAAATCTGCAATCATCGCCAAGCGTAATGTCAACATGAACAATTACCATACTCTTTATCATTCAATTACTAACATAAAAAAAAAATGGTTTAGCCATTGTTACACGAGTCATTACTCAAATTGTCATGTATTGATAAACATGCGGTGATGAAAACAAAATATAATAAATAATTATTAGCCAGATTGGCATCAGGGATATAAAATATTAGTCCATGTAAAATCAAAGATGTTATATATGTAGCATGTTTCAGTTCGAGATGTATGCCAAGCAGACACGCAGCAATGGAGCCAAGTTATCGATCATACAAATTTATGCTAAAACGATTGTTTCTTCAATCACGAGGTATTTTATTTAGTGCCATAGTGAAATTAAAAATCGGGACTCTCCACGTATTTTAATATGAGCAGGGGGGGAATAAAATGCGCATGCATAAAGCGTACAGAAAAAAAAAAAAAAAAAAAAAGTTGTTGGTGGCTTTGAAGTCTGGATTTTGGATCATTCCGGATATTGGATGTCCGCATCTCGGACTTTTACTGTATTTTTATTATACAGTAGGTGCTACGTAACTGCTAAATTGCTTAGTTGTCAAAGAAAAAGGTGCACATGCACAGGTTTAGTTTTGTTGGCAGTGGTGATAAAAGGCAAAGCATATTTTGCTTCCCTTAAATAAACTAATCTAAATAAAATTCATGCTTTATTCCGTAAATTAAAATAAAAGAGCTAACACTGTAGCCTTTACATTTAAAATCATTTGATTGAAAGCAAACTAGCATTATGCTAACTCATAATAACACAAGAGAACAAGACATTCGCCGATACCGGCGTACATATATAATACTCGGCCAACCCGCCAATCTTGACGTCATTGGCCAATCAGCGGCAACCACGTTAGCTTACCACCGATTGACCTCCGATGAAAATTTGCATGTGGAAAACTAAAGCCAACAAACGGCCCTCTTTTCCTCATGCAAAGACAAAAAAACAAAACTTGCACAGAATTACAGAAGTTCATAGTTCAATTCTATTATACGAAAACACTTATTGTCTTTAAACACTGAAAACATCTAAACAAAACTTTCTTAAATTAACAGCAGTCGCTGCTTTTGTAAATAAGTCGGCAGTATTTAATTTACCGGTGATAAATTCAAGGTCAAACGCTCCATCATTTACTAGTCTTCTAACAAACTGATATTTTACGTCTATGTGCTTAGTTCAGCGATTTTCTATTGGCGATCTAGAAAAATCAATGGCAGACTTGTTATCACAAAATAGTTTACACTCTCTTAAATTAAGCTTTAAAATTTCATCTTGTAAGACATTTTTCGTCCACATTAATTCCTTTGCTGCTTCAGATAAGGCGATATACTCCGCTTCCATGGTTGATAAACTTACACATTTTTGTTTAACAGTTTTCCAGATTACTGGTACTTCATCTAAATATAATATAAATCCTCCCATGGACACGTGGTCATCTCTGTTACTTGCATAATCAGCATCTAAATAACAATATAAATTTATATGGTTAATCGATAAGTTTAACTTGCATAATTTAGTACTATTGAGATAACCAAGCAATTTCAACAATGCTTCCGAATGCCTAATTCCAGGATTCTCATGAAATTGTGATAAGATATTCACTGCATATGTAATATCAGGCCTTGTCCTGTTAGCTACAAAAACTAAACATCCTAACAGATTTCTAAAGGGTAATGTATGCATTTCTGCAATTTCTGCACTTTTAGATGGACAATCTAATTTTGTAAGAATAGTGCCCTTAGCTATGGGAAGTGAAGTTATTGGTATCTGGAAATGTTTAAATTTTTCAAAAATTTCTTCCATATATATTTGCTGATGTATAAAAACCCCATTCTCATTCTCTAAGAATTCAATTCCAAGTAACGTTTTAGTTTTGCCTAATACTTTAAGATGAAAAAACTTACTCTTAGGCAAATTCAAATAGTAATAAGTATGCATCCCCCTTTATCTATACTATATTGATCTTTACTAAAAATCACAATATCATCTACATTTGAACTCTTATAAACACAATTACACCATTGTATTTTCTTAAAATGTAGATTTTCTAAAGTACTTTCAAATTCACAAAAAAATTCACGGCCGCTTTGATGTAGACCGTAAATGGCCTTGTGTAATAAACACACTTTATTTTCCTCTTCAATAAATCCCTCTGGTTGGGTCATATATATTTTCTCATTTAGGTTTGCATATAAATATGCGTTCTTTACATCTAACTGACAATTAGTCCATCCATATAAACATACCAGGATAGTGAAAAATATTCTTATGATTGAAAAATTTACCACAGGACTGTAAACGTCATCAAAATCTTCACCTCTTTTCTGCCTGAATCCCTGTGCTACTAAACATGCTTTGTATCTAACCACTTGATTCTTTTCAGCGTATAGACCCATTTGTTTCCTATCATAGTTTTATTTTCTGGCTTTTCGACTAATTCCCAAACCTTTCTTTTCTTCATTGTGTCAATTTCTTCTTTCATTGCCTTATCCCATTCTTCGGCATTTACTGATTTTCGAGCTTCTTTAAAATTTTGTGGGATAATTATTTCTATAGAATTTGCCTCTTTAGACACAGAGCTGGTCTCCTGTTCTACAAAATTAACTTTCCCCGAGTATTCGTTTTTTTCCACTAAAATCAAACTTATCTTTTTCAAATTTAATATTTCTTGCCTCACAATACTTTTCAATATCATTATAAGATCTAAAACGGGTGTCTGTTCCCTCTACATGATAATATATGTCTGTACGCGTTCCATCTGGCCTTTTAACTGCTTTTCTTTGCCAGTTTAAGTCTGATAATTCTTTTGGAGTAGATTTGTCATCTGACAACTTTATTTCTTCTCTAGAAATTTCCTGTTCTTCATCTGATTCTGCTAATAGCTCAGATTCCTCTAGTCTTTTAAATTTAGGTTTTGATTTCTGTTCCAGGATGCCATTTGCTGCATACAGATTTTATCGAACTTCACATTACAGGTTTCTATTAATCTGCGTTCTTCTGGCAGCCATATCCTATAACCCTTAGTTTCCTTTGCATATCCTACCATGATTCCTTCTTTGCACCTCATTTGTAATTTATTTCTAATCCGTTTTGGCATGCCAACATAGGCTTTACAACCAAATATTTTAAAATAAACAACACTGGGTTTTCTATTTAGGAACATTTCATAAGGGGTTCAGTTGCTTTTATGACATACTCTGTTCCACGTCTGTACGAAACAGCCAAGAGCTTCTGCCCACCATTCTTTTCCCATTTTACCATCACATACCTGCCAACTTTTACGAATTTTTCGTAATTTTTACGAAAATGCATTTGTCTTTACGATTTTACGATCGTAATCCATGTTTTACGAATTTTTCCCTTTTTCAAGTGTTTTTAGTGATTTTTGTCGGAATTTTAGAATTTTTTCCCAATTGCATCGTGTTTTACCGCCAGCTACCGACTACTTCGACTCCAGTGACCTGCGGTTTCTCCCAACTCGCCGCTTAACCAGCCAATCCAATGCACAGAACTTGTTTCTCCCACTCTTTTCTTTATGGGTGCCAGATTATTTTTTTTCGCGTTTGCTTCAGCAGCAAGGGAATTACTCAGCGAACGTGGATTGTCGCATTTTTTTTTTTTTTTTTTATATATATTTGGTTTGTACATGCTACGAATTTTCTTAATATGTCGTTGTTACGAAATGAGTTCAAATAAACCATATTCTCAATATTTTCAGCCTGCCTACAAAGCCGAATTTCCAACGATTAAAGAATCCTTCAAAGGAAATAACTATGCATTTTGCAACGTGTGCGTGTGTGACTTCATAATAACTTACGGTGGAGGAAGCGACATTGTGAAGCATGTTAAGTCTAAAAAGCATGAAGTTAATGCTTCGGCTTCAACAACGTCAAAGAAAGTGGATGATTTTTTTTTTCAAATTCGCTACGAATTCGGATGCTGATGTCATTTTTCCAGAGTGTTTGTTTACTGCATTCCTCATCGAACACAACGTGCCGATCACGCCGGTCAACTTTTCAGACAGATGTTTCCCGACTCCAAGATTGCTCAGAAATATGGTTGTGCTCGCACGAAAACTACTTCTATTGTGAACGAAATTGATTGCGATGCACAAAGTAAAACGATAGCTGCACTCCAGAATTCAGCATTTTCGGTGTCAATCGATGGCAGCAACGACAGCGATTGAAAGCTTTACCCCATCGTTGTCACATATTTCTGTGATGTTTCTAATGAAATGAAAACTCATCTTTTGCGTCCTCCATTGTTAAATGGAGACGTTACGGGGGGGAAATATAGCCTCCTTGGTAATTAATGAGTTGAAACAACTTAACATCCCAATATCAAACTGCATTTCATTTGGTGCAGATAATGCTCATATCATGGTGGGTGACAAAAAGGGTGTAGCCTCTTTCCTCAAAAAAGAACAAAATGAATTGTTATTGGATGCCCATGCCACTTAATTAATTTGGCAGCAGAAAAAGCTGCAGCTGTAGTTCCACACAGTAATGCTGAGTGCGAGAGAATCTTCAGTGTTGTGAAGAAAAACAAAACTATGTTTCGTTCTTCAATTCACCAAAAACTCTAGAAAACATTTTAATTGCTAAATGTTATGTGGAAACTAATTGTTATGACAGGAAATTTTCCAAAGAATTTTTGGCTAAAGCCAAAAAATGCACTCTAAATTCATTGCAATAATTTTTTTGTGTAACATTAAGTTCTTGTTTTATGTTTCCTAACAAATTTTTTAGTTACTACTTAATTGACATTTACTAATGCAAGTGCAATTTTCTTTTATCTAGTTGTATAAATTGTTATTTTTTTAATATCAAAGCATGATATTAATTCTTCGTGTTCTTCTGAATTTGGGGGAGAAATCTTCTGA